GACCCCCCGAGAGTAGGGGTCCCTTCTGGGGCGGAGTAGGGAATGAGAACACTTGGGGGCATCTTCCTGTACTTCTTTATCGTCCACCATCCCAAACACACACACACACACACACACACACACACACACACACACACACGGACTCCACAAGGGATATGTTTCCCCTCTGCTGGATGCCTTATTTCTGGAAGGATGAATAAGTGGGTGGATGGATGGTTAGATGGATGGATAGATGGATGGATGATGGGTAGACAGATGAATAAGTGGGTAGATGGCTAGATGGATGGATGAATAAATGAAGGGTGAGTGGATGGATGGATGGATGAATAGATGGGTAGATGGAGGGGTGGATGGATAGATGAATAAGTGGATGGATGGGTGGATGAATAGATAGGTGGATGGATGGGTGGGTGAATAGATGAAGGGTGGGGGGTAGATGGGTGGATGAATGGATGGGTGGATGGTTGGGTGGGTGGGTGGATGAATAGATGAAAAAGTGGATGGAGGGATGGATGGATGGCTGGCTGGATGGATGGATGAATAGATGGGTGGATGGATGGGGATGGATGGGACCAGGTGTCTCCGTCCAGACAGAGGGCAGAGGCAGAGCCTGATGCCCGACCCTGAGCTGTGGGACCCCTGCTCTCCCCCCAGCAGACCAGAGCCCCTGCCATGGGCACTTTCGGGGTGGATGGAGAGAATCAGTGTCCTGCTCTCTCTGCCACCTACCCCCACATCTTACCCGTTTCCCTGTGGCCCCGGGGCTGGGTGGAGGGGACCTAAGTCTGACTCCCAGGGCCTGCTTCCTCTCTCCCCTCTGCCTCTCCCTCCACACGTTCTGTGCCCGCCTTGGCCACCCTCTGTGGCCTGTGCCACACCCCTGTGCACCCCTGGCAGAGGCCCAGCGGCTGCCCTACTATGCCACCTACTGTCCCACCCGGCTGCTCATCCACTCCATGTGCACCAGCCACTACCTGGACATCTTCATCACCTTCGTCATCTGCCTCAATGTGGTCACCATGTCCCTGGAACACTACAACCAGCCGATGGTGAGCCCCAGCCCTGCCCCCCGGGGCCGAGGTTTCATGGGGAGCAGGCCCTCAGCAGGACCCTTCCCCTGGGACAGGGTGGGCAGGATCTGAGTTGCCCATGCTGGGCGCTATGCCCAGGAAGCTCATGGCCTGGTAGGACAGGTGACTGAAGGAGAGGGGCCAGAGGGAAAGGTCTCTGATTTCTGGTGGGCGGGAAGGTGACATTTGGGCCTCACCTTGAATACAGGTAACAGTAGCCAGGGTGTGTTTCATATTACTTTCTGCAAGGCATGTACCGATTTTAACTCTCTCATCCTCATAGCAACCTTAAGGTGGGGGAGGGGACTTTCTCCAGATTTTGTAGATGAACAAACAGGCTCAGAGAGAGAAAATATGTTGCCCCAATTAGCCAGCCAGAGAGCAGTGAAGCCAGGACTTTGATTTGTATTCAAGTACTGCCAGGTGGCCCCCGCTGCTATCTGGGCATTTCAGGTAGCAGGACTGTTGGGGGCAAACACAGAGGTGGGAGAGGGTGACCAGTTCCTAGCTAGTTGCAGGCAGTGTCCATAAGGGGCATGTGAGGGGCTTGTAGGGGCAAGTGCATCCCAAAAGCTTCTTATCAGAGACTAGAGGCCCAGTGCACGAAATTTGTGTACGGGTAGGGTCCCTAGGCCTGCGATCAGGGCCGACTGGGGCCTTCCGGCTGCCGGCCGGGGCCTCCCTTACCTGGTTGCTGGCTGCCGGCCAGGGCTTTCCTTCATTCTGTGCCGCCCACTGGTGGTCAGTGCACGTCATGGCAAGCGAGTGATCAAACTCCCGGTCGAACTCCTGAGGGGACGTTTTGCATATTAGCCTTTTATATATATAGATGGGGGAAGAAGAGGGGAGTTCTTTGCCCCCCCCCCCCCCCCCCCCCATAGTCCCTGGAGATAGCCCTCAAGTACTGCAACTACTTTTTCACCACTGTCTTTGTGCTGGAGGCTGTGCTGAAGCTGGTGGCATTTGGTCTGAGGCGTTTCTTCAAGGACCGGTGAGTGGCTGGGCCAGGCCATAGCAGCATTGATGGGGCTGCAGGATGGGAAAGCAGGCCTGATCCCTGGGGAAGCCTGGGGCAGCCAGAGGAGGGTAACTAATAAGTGTCTGGGCACTGATGACCAGGGGCCCCTGGGTGCTGCCTGCAGCCCTGAACAGGAAGTCGATAGGGTACTACCTGGTGGGTGCAGGGCATTCTACCAAGTCTCCTCATCGCAGCTCCCATGGGTCCTCCACACCCTACAGGCAGAGCAGGGCACACCTCATTCTTTTTCAGAGGGAACATAAGGTTCAGAGGGCTTGCTAGACTAGTCCTGGGCCACACAGAGGGAACAGGGGCTCAGGATTTACAGCCAGAAGTCAGAGTCCATTTCTTCTCCCCTGCAGGAGGCCGAAGATATTTATTTAGCCCGGTTAGCCTCTTGCTTGAGGATTTGGAGGCTGTCTAAGGGCAGAGAGGGAGCTGGACCCGGTGGGGTCTGGAGGGCTAGTCGGAAGGGTGGCCACACATCCCTGCCAGCCACAGCAGGAAGGGGGAGAGCTGGGACCTCCTCCGAACAGAGGTGTGTCTAAACTAGGTGGCTCTCACTTTGCTTCCCACTCCTGCCCTCCTGTGTCCCCTGAGCAGGTGGAACCAGCTGGACCTGGCCATCGTGCTGCTGTCGGTCATGGGCATCACGCTGGAGGAGATCGAGATCAACGCGGCACTGCCCATCAACCCCACCATCATC